CCTTATTCATTCCGTGCAGATATGCACGGAGGCCGATCTTTCCGGTGCGCATTTGGGTGATGACTGAGCTGATGGCTCTGTGTGTTCTGATGGGTGCGTTTCTTTTCACGGCGCTCCGCCTGCCTTTGTCTTCTCTGAGACTTACCCCATGGACTTGCTCAACATGACTTCGGAAATGATCCACGTGGTCAAATTTCTCCTGCCTGCATTTCGAATGGCCACACAAAATTGCTTCACCACCCGCACTTCTGCTGGTAAGCGTCTCATTTCACCGACAAGGTCGGTGAAGTTCAGTGAGCCCCGCTTTGCCCTCACGAGAAAGCAACACGGTGGGGAGATCGTCTAACCAGTTAGCTACCCATCAAATTAGGCCAGGACTAAGCAGAACGCATTGCAATCCATCCGGCCGTTCCTACGCAAGGCTAGTCAGAAGCTACAGAGCAAGGCACAGAGGAGTTGGCGTGCCATATATTGGCTATATTGCAACTTAACTCAACAGTTCTAGTACAGTACAAACAGCTGGATCACATATTAGCGGCGGCCTTTGCGATTTTCTTTTGCTGCCGTCCTCTGCGTGCCTTTTCACGGCGGCCGCACAGACACATCCTTTTACATGATATCTTGGTCCGAAAAGCCGCAGAAGCATTTCGACCTGTTTATCGAGCCTCGCGGCGGCTTCACCCAAAATCTGTTCGCTCTATCGTACCACGGCCCTACCACACGCAGGGCAATGTTCAGCGGACCGCATGGAAAGAAGCTACCAGTACAGTCATATGAAAATGTTGTTATGCTGGCCACCGGATTTGGCATTGCCGCTCACCTGCCGTATCTGCGGAAGCTGATTCACGATCAAAACTGTCGCGCGACTTCAACGCGCGGAATTCATCTAGTATGGCAGATAGAAAGGAGAGGTGAGAAATAAGAAGATGGACGTGGCATGCGCGTGCTGACCTTTCCAAGACGTTGAATTCGCCGCTCAGAAATTGCTGAACGAGGCGCTCGACGAAGACAAGCTTGACGGAAAACATGTACGTAGACCATGCAGCCAGCGACTGCCATACTTATCTGTCTACGTAGAATCTGCGCATCTACATCAGATCAGAGAACATAAAATGAAGTGAAATTAGAGCCACAGCATATTCCGGTGAAATACCTCTTGCGAACGTTGTCTCATCGGAGCTTCGAGAACGACGACCTGGGAGCAGGACGGTCATCTCAGGTGCGTTGTCTTGCTGCTTAATGGCAAAGCTCGATGCGTTGAACGATCTGTTGTGGCAGGCTCTGCACAGTAATAGAGATATCATGTACCCCGTCTATCTGCATAACGCATCAATGCGCCACGCGGGCTTTTTTCCAAAAGACATCGATGCATATCAGACTCATTGTTTAGTTACGCAGCCTCTCGTACGAGAAAATTGCGCTGGTTGGTCTTAGAAAAACCCTGGCCATGTGTGCCAAGAAAAATATCCTAGGAGCGCTCTAGTAGAATTTGGTGTAAAATAATGTGGCGCAGAGACTTTGCCGTAAAACGAGGATGAGCCGGAAAATTGTGTCAGAACAGTGTGGCACAAAATATTTGGTATACGGGGCTGGTGCTGCCCGTAATTGACCCCGTCTAACTCCGTCCATATCCGACTTGTCCAAGTGGCCGATAGTAGCAATTGGCCTGGGCTTTGTCCTCCGATCGGTTTTTGGACGACCATCCGGTACGCCCCGCACGTGCACCCCTAATTCGCGTCCATTTTCTCCAGAGCCCACATATGACGTCAAGGCAAAGATGCTTGGTATTATGTTGGAGCCTAAAAAAAGCTGTACAGCAAGAAAAACGATACTATTCGAACGTAATCGGCGTCCAGAGCGTCATTTCTAAAAACTGTAGTCCGGCTGTAAAAGCTAGACGCTAGCGACACCAGGCACAACCATCATCTAAGCTTAGCTTAGGGGCTCGGGCCAGGGAAGGAATATTTGGAGTCTGGTAGTTCTGTCGTGGACCAAGCTCAAATTACCGAGCTTGTAAGTGAAAATAAGCGTATGAGGCCAATACAACGGAACAGCGAATCATACCATTTCGCCAGCAGGTGACATGTAACAAGGCATTAAAGTGCAGATATATGAGCTCATCACCGCCCATGCCTCGCTCAGGGTGGGGAGTGGCAAATGCGGAGCGAAGTCCTACTGGTGCTCCGTTCTACCACCTGCTTCTTCATCCACACCAGCCTCTTCGTCCCTACCCCAATGCTCGTCGAAGTCGACATCATCTGCAGTTGCGTCCTGATACTGCTGGTATTCGGCCACAAGGTCATTCAAATTGGATTCTGCCTCAGTAAATTCCATCTCGTCCATGCCCTCTCCCGTATACCAGTGTAAAAACGCTTTACGGCGAAACATGGCCTGAAATTGGTCTCCTACCCGTTTGAAGATATCCTGGATGGCGGTAGAATTACCTACGAAGGTACTCGACATGTTGAGACCCTTGGAAGCCACAGAACATAGCGAAGACTGCACATTATTAGGAATCCAATCCACAAAATAAGCCGAATTTCTGTCTTGAGTGCGTCGCATCTGCTCTTCCACTTCCTTCCCTGCAATCTTGCCGCGAAATATGGCAGAGCATGTGAGGAAGCGGCCGTTACGGAAGTCCGAATCGGCCATCATATTCTGAGGATCCATCATTTGCTGCGTGAGACTGGCTACTGTACTGGAGCGGAATGCAATCGATTGACGGCTTGTCAAGGGGGCGAAGCCAACCAGAAAGAAGTGAAGGCGCGGGAATGGGACCTGAAACACATATATTAGCGCTGATAGATATCGCGTAAGCGAAGACATGGATGCGGAACTCATACCAAGTTTACGCACATCTTCCTTATGTCGGAGTTGAGTTGACCAGGAAAACGCAGAGATGTCGAGATTCCAGACATAACATGAGATATCAAATGGTTAAGGTCATTATTTGTCGGA